ACTGCAGAGGGACCCACCACCTGCTCTGCTGTGGCCCTGTGCCTGCTGGCCACCAGGCATCCGCCCCACAAGCCACAGCCAACTGGGCGTGGGCAGGGAGGCCCGAGAAAAGGATGAGCCCGCCTCTGCGAGTTCCACCCAGAAAAACTAGAAGCTAATTCTGTTTGGGGGCCATTTCTAGTTGTCATTGAGGGAGCTCTGATGGCCTAGTGCTAAGAGCTGCACTGCTGACCCAAAGTCAGGGGGTTCAAATCTACCAGCTGCTGCGCCAAATATGGGCAATCTTAAACTAAAGTGGGATTTACTGTCTCTGAAACCTGCTGAAGAATCTAGTTCTGAGTTGGTTCCAACTCAGTGGTACACAAAAACAACAACAACAATAACAACAACAACAGAGTGCTGCCTGATCCCACCTCATTCTCACAATGACTGCTCTGCTCAAATCCACCTCTTTGAATATCTCCCCCTTTTTCAGTGACCCTCCACTTCACCAAGTCTGATTTTCTCCAGGCACCCACAGCCCCTGACAGCATGCCCAAAGTGTATGAGATGAAATCTTGCTATTCTCGTCTCCAAAGGGACATTCGAGTTCTACTTTTACCAAGACAGATTTATTTATTCTTTTGGCAATTTGCATCATAGCCAATATCCTTCACCAACACCGTAACTCAGTCACCAGTTCTGCTTTTGTTTTCCTTATTCATTGTCCAACTTTCACAGGCGTATGTGAGGCAACTGAAAACACCATCGTTTGGGAGTGTCAGGCACACTTTAGTCCTCAGAGTGGACCCTTGCTCTTGAGCATTTGAAGAAGTCCTTTGCAACAGATTTGACATCTTGACTGCTGCTTCCCTGGGTGCTGACTGCAGATTGAAGTAAAATGAATTGCTTGAGAACGTCAGTCTTGTCTCTGTTTAATCATGATGTTTATTGGCCCAGTTGTGTGAACTGATAAGTCCCAGAACAGCTGCAGAGCTATGTATATACCCAGTACCTTGTTCAAATTCAACCAAAACCCCACGGATGTTGAGTCAAGTTGATTTACACTCATGGCAATTCTCCAATGCATTTCCGAGGCTGTGACTCTTAACAGGAAGAGAGAACTGCTTCATCTGTCTTTGGTGGAGCAACTGGTGGGTTTGAACAGCTGACCTTCCGATTAGCAGCCTAATATTTAGGCAGTAAGCTACCAGGGCCGCTGATAGGTAGTTAATGCTCAGTGAAAGTTAGCTGTACACACACCTCACCTCATTTGATCCTTACAACAAACCCCTGAGGTAAGTAAGTCGTCTTAGCAGCCACATTAATGGATGAGAAATTAAGACCCAAAGGGTGGCTTCAGCTGTCCAGGTGGCATTGTACGTGGATAACATCACTGAGCTTTAACTCAGGCCTTAGTGGCCCTGAGTCCAGCCCCGTCTTCACCCTTAAATTGGGAGGTGCTTGATGCTCCATCAGAGACTCTTACTTAGTGATCAGCACACACGTCCACATGCACATCTCAGGACCCTCACGAGGACTCCGTCCCCGGCTGCCCAAACAACACAGGCCGAATTGTAAAACACAGTGGGGCTGGAGATTTAAGACAGCCCACCGGAGACTTCTCAGAACCGCCCTCCCTTTGAAGAGTAGGCCCCTGGATGAGTAGGGACAGGGATGCGTCCCCTGGGCCTCCCCCCTCAGACCCTCCTTCAAGTTGCCAAGCTCTCTTGGGGGAGGCCCGCTCTATCACAGGCCTCTGCCCCAGCATCCGCATTCCTAAGAGAGAGGGCATTCCTTGTCCTGACCTCAGGTCTGGGGCTGGGGGGCCCAGAGGTCTGGCTCTGTCAGCCCCTGTCCCTGAGACATGGCTGCAGGTAGAGCCGCCCTGGTAGCTCAGTGACGCAGGCCAGCAGCGGGGAGGCCTCCCAGGTTGGGGTGGAGCCAGAGCCTGTGGCGGCCCCTCTGTCCAGCCAGATGGCCTCTGGCTCTGGTGGGAGGGCTGCCAGCGTGCTGCAGGTTGGCACTCAGCCTCCGTCCAGTCTATGCTCTTAGACATTGTTCACTGAGGGAGTTGGGCTGCTTCTTCACTGAAGAGGGGGCTTTGCGGTGCCCAATCCCTGCACCCACCCTTCCTGGTTCCCTTCTTCCCTACATCAGGCATAATCAGATCCCTCAAAGTTGACATGGATCAAGACCCTGAAAGAAAGCAGTGGGGTGGCCTGGGCAGTGACCTTCCCTCCCGGGGTCCTCTTTTCTTCTGAAGTTCAACCCCTGGATTAACCTCGCATCCATTCATTCATTGACCCACAAATATAAACCAAGCACCCCCAACAGTCTGGCTCCCAGCCCTGCAACGGTACTGAGGAGCAAATAGACAAACCTTTGCCCTCATGAGCTCACCTGTACTCAGGGGGACAAGAAACACAGCAGCGGGGTGTATGGAGATGTGGTTAAGGCAGAGGGCACCTTGGAGAGGGCCAGGAGGGGAGGGGCCTCTGAGCAGAGTCTGGAAGGCAAGGAGCCAATTCGGGGAGTGGAGGACACAAGCTGGGTGGAAAGTTCTAGTAGGAGGAACTGGCATGTGGGAAGACCCTGTAGTGGAGTCAGTGTGCGTGCTTGTGGGGGTGAGAGTGCTGGGCATGTGGGCCAGGGACAGGAGGCGGTTAGGGCCGGAGCACAAAGGTACTGAAATATAAAAATAATTTTCACATAGTTCTTCCTTTGTTTTAGTAGTCACTGAGTTGATGTGTCACCAGAAGTACTCTGTAGGGTTGCCGAGGCCATGACATAGTGAAAGGCCTGTCTCCTGAGGTGCATCAAGGTGTCTTTGAACCTCTGACCTGTTGGCTTGTGGTCTAGTACTTATCTGTGCCCCACAGGGACTCCAGCTCTTCCTTGCATAGACTAAATTCAAGCAAATCTCTGTAGAACGCCATGGCAGGTCCCGGATGATTCCGTTTTTTACATAGGAGGTAAATTTATGCAGATGAAATAGCTGCTCAGAGCACACTTCCTGTAGGCCAGCCAGTGGTGGAGTCAGCATCCTGCAGGACAGCTGGGCCCCAAAGCCCTGACCATGGCGGATTCTAGGGTTTTACTTCCTCCCATCCCGTGGGGCCAGAGAACTCTGTCCTGGAGGAAATGCAGCCAGAATCCTCCTTAGAAGTGAGACTGGTGCGATTTTGAGTGCCTAAACCATCCCTCCTTTGAGTTATCGGGAATGACCTGTCCCTGGAGCAGGACAACATGCTTGATGGAAGGTCAACAAGACGGGTTGGCACAGTGGCTGTAAGAGTGGGGGCCTAAGCGCTGTGGCACAGGACGGGGCTTTTTGTTCTGTCATTTTTATTGTTTTTACTCTGTCATCCACAGGGTCGCTGTGAGCTGGGGTTCACTTGATGGCACCTAACAATAACAACAACGACAACAGCAGCAACCATACAGCCTTGTTCACGAAGAGTTCGCTTGCTGTGTTTTAAAAAGCCAGGACCCTTGGTGGCCTAGTGGCAGGAAGCTGCACTACGATCCCAGAGGCATGCAGTTCGAATCCACCAGATGCTCTGCTGAAGAAGAAGGGACAAACTCCTCCGGTACCAGTCAGATCCAATTTGACGGTACATATACACAAAAATAAAAAAAAAATTAAAAAAAAAGCCAGGACCCACTGCATGGTGGAGACACAACGGTGGGGCCCCCCAAGAGGTCATGCGTCCATGGCCTTACAGTTCCCATTTTGTAGATGACACTGCTGTTGTTGTTAGGTGTCTTAGAGTCGAGTATGACCCACAGCGACCGTACAAACAACAGATTTGAACCCTGCCCTGTCCTGTGCCATCCTCACACTTCCTCACAGGAGAGCCCATGGCGGCAGTCGCCGTGTCACTGGAGGAGAGAGCAGATGACACTACAGAGAAATAAAGAGATCAGAGACCTGTCTATGAATTAGTGAGGCAGGTGGGAGAAGTGGAGTGGGGTATCCTAAATTCTTCCCTGGCATTACGTACACAAAAAGGCACAATAGATCAAGAAGACGTAACCTTGGTCAACATTTTCGTACCTAATGATAGAATTGCAAAATACCCAAATTCTTCCCTCAAGCCCTGACTTTTCCACCCCTTTAGGAGAAAATTCCTGGGTCATTTCTGATCCGTGCTCTACCCTTGACCTCGGTGTAGCCAGACAGCAGCCTTGCACAGGGGTGGTGTGCACACCAGGCGTGGTGGACTCACTGTCTGTAGTTGAAACATGCGAGGCTAGGTGCTGAGGTCTCAGAAGCCTCGAGCGTGAAGGTTTAGAAGAGAAGATGTGAGCTGAGGGTTGACAGCTGCTGAGGAATTTTCTAGTAAACCGGGGAGGGGCCATGTCAGGCATTTGAGTCTAGGATAGGAAGGACACTGTACTCAGAGGGAAGGGAGACCATGTGGTGTGTCGTGTCGAGGAACAGCAGTGGCTCTGTTGGACCTGTGCATGCGCCCTGCGGTGGGGGTGGGGTGGCCGGGATGGGGTGGAGGTGGTCCCCCAGGCTGAGGGGCTGAGACGCTGGCTTGGGGGAGGGGGAACAGGCCAGGATGGAAGCGTCCCAGTGGGTCCTGGGACAAACCCTCATGCAGGCCACATGCCCTCTCTGAGCCCCAGTATGTCCCTCTGCACGATTTGTGGGCTGTTTGTCAGTTCTGATCCCTGAGGTTTTCAGGGCTGTGACCTTGGAATGAGATGACCATACCTGTCTCTCGATGCACCGCTGGGTGCAAACTGCCACCCTTTCTGCTCGTGGTGGAGCCCTTGACCACGCGTACCACCCAATGACTGCAATTTGGAGAGGACACAGCTACTTTCTAAGGACCATCCAGGCCCCATGTGGACTCTGGTCTCTTGCTTCCATCCAGCCCAAACAAAGGCAGTTTCTCCTCTGGGTAGATATGAAATCTCTTTAATGCCCCACTTTCTTATTGCCATGCGTGGCTGTGCTCTGTGGCAGCCTGCAGCCTTCATGGAGGCCCAGGCCCCGGCAGCTGGACTTACAAGGGCACCTGAGAGGACATGCTCCTTCTCACTGGGCAGCCCTTCCTCTTGTGGAGCCTGGACCAGGGCAAGCTGGCCTTGTGGGCCTGGATGTGCACTGGGCCCAGCTCTGAGGGCGGCGGCGGCAGCAGTGGCACCAGCGGGATCACCATGGCCACGGGCGTCTGCGGCATCAGCTCCTCTGAGGCCTTGGCAGGCAGCTCATCGTGGTCCAGGATGGCATCGCTCCAGCCCTCAGAACCGTCACTGGGGCCATCCGCGGCCATGGCGTCGTCACATATGGAGACCACCTCGGCCATGTCCTCCCCGTGGCTGCTGTCTAAGGCCCCTGTCCTTTCGTCTTTGGTCTCGTCAAACTTTTTGGCCATGGGGACATTGGCCATAGTCTCCTGCTTCTGCTCAGGGCTAGCGGAGGGGATTTGGTGGGACCCTGCTATGGGCTGCCCAGGGCCCTTGGCCCTGCCCTGGCCAGTCCAGAAGAGGGTGAGCTCGTGGCGGTGGGCGGCCACGGCCAGGCTGGTGACCAGCGTGCAGGACACCAGGTAGAGCAGGGCGGGCTGGCCGGTCTGCGTGAGGACCACGGCTGTGAAGGTGGCCAGGAGGCCCATGGCGTAGGCCAGGGTGCAGGCTATGAAGTAGACATGGTGCGAGTGGATTTGGACGTCAAAGCGGTGGCAGTAGACCACGAGGAAGCCAGGGACCACAATGTCGCCTAAGCCCAGGATGGAGAAGGGCTGTTTGCACAGAGTCAAGGCCGACAACCGCATCCGGGGCACTTTGAGGACTGTGGGCAGCTTCTCGTGGCTCAAGGAGCCGGCTGGGCCCAGGGCCACCTCCACCATTATGCTCTCACCGGTCCTGGTGAGGAAGGGGGTGACGAAGACGTAGAAGACGTCGAAGACCAGCAAGGTCAGCAGGAAGGAGGCGCAGTTCTTGAGCGAGGGCAGTCGCACACGCTGCAGGACCAACAGGCAGTAGGCCATGCCCAGCGTGTCCTGCAGCAGCCAAGCCCAGCTGTCCTCATTGCGGTAGGCGACCCAGAGGGCGGTCACCGTGGTGCACAGGCCAGCCAGCAAGAGCAGAGGCAGCTGCAGACAGGCCTGGTGGCTGGGCAAGGACCAGGCATGCAGCTGCAGGGGCAGGTGGCTTGCCAGTGGGGCCAGGCAGCTGTAGAGGCCAGTGGTTGCCCCCAGGCCAAAGATGCCGATCAGGATGTAGACAAAGCAGTCATAGAAGAAGTAGAGCAGCAGCATGACGGAGCAGGACAGGGTGACCACTGTGCCTGTCATGGCCGGCGTGAAGTCCACCCCCGTGTCCTCATCCTCCCCATCGGGCCTCCCCTGGGCCTCTCCTGCCACCAGTGGCTGCTGACCTCCAGGTCCTCCTCCTCCCTGGGCCTGGTGCTGCTGGAGACGGTCAGCTTCAGCTAGGCCAGCCCAATAGCCCCCCGCGGCCACGGTGCCCACAGCCAGGATGAAGATGACCAGCATGTTGTAGTCGAGGAGGGTCTCTGGGGGCGCGTACAAGGCCACGCGGACCACGGAGCTCCCGTGAGTGTGGCTGAGGATGTCCAGCATGTCTGCGTGGCGGAGCACGACCACAGGGATGGACAGGGGTGGCAGGGCCTGGCGGGGGTCCTGGGGGTCAGGCGTGGTTTCTGCACACTGCCAGCAGCTGGCCTGGCTCACGACCAGCAGCCCATGGGCGCCTTGGACCTGAGCCAGCCGGCCCTCGGCGTAAAGGCTGCAGTTGCCCCTCATGGCCATGGCGGTGGCATGGCGGAGCGGCTGCTGGCTGGGGGAGCTGGGCCGGGCCTGGTGGGCACTGTCCTCACCTGGGCACCACGGTGCCATGGTGCTGTCATGCAGGGGCAGCAGTGGGGCGTGGTGCAGGTCCTGTGGCAGGCTGATGTAGTCGGAGCTGAACAGGACACAGTAGTCCTTTTTCCAGTTCTCTGACACCACGTGGACCACAGCGTACTTCCCCTGGGCTGAGGTGCTGGTGAGGAGGAGGAGGAAGCCCACGAGGAGGAGGAAGCCCAGGCACGCCATCCTCTTTGGCCACTTTCTGTGTGTTCCCAACAGCTATGGCTACTCGCCCCCAGGGTCCCTCTCCCAGCGGGTGGGCGTGGCTCCTTGTCACAGAACGTCTTGGCTTCCTGTCCTGGAAACCAGAGCCACACCTACGAGCCACACCTACCCAGTCATAAAGCTGTGTTCTCCCACTGTCCTTGAGCTAGGAGACTGTCCTCTACTCTGTCTACCTTTTGTGTCCCTGTTCTCTTTGTGGGACAAGGGAATGTGGAAGGAGTTGGGAGTATAGAACTGGGGATCCCAGACTCTGGCTTTGCTGCTTGTCCCAAAGGGAACCTGGGCAAATGCTTTTCTTCCCAGAGCTTATGTCTTTATCTGCAAAGAAATGAGGTCATTGGCCCACGAGAGGCTCTAAGGCCCCTTGAAGTCGCGTCCTCAGTGCTGCTGAGTCCTTTTACTGAGCACTTATGTAAAAATGGTGTGAGCGTGGGGGCAGCAGTGTCTGACCTCCACGAACTTCCCAGCGGGGAAGAGTCCCTATCAATAGCATCAACAGCACAGGGCCCTTCCTTCCTGTGAGGTCACACATCCAACTCACACTCTACCCTTTCTTCAATCACTTCTAATACTGTTCAACATTCCCCCAGTATTCACTGTTTCTTAGATTGTTTATTGCGATGGCCACACAGAACCCATGGATAATACTCACAATTATGGGTTTATTGGAGAATTAACAGATTACAACCATAAATAAGGAAGACCAAAGAAGAATCGGTGCCTTTGAATTAGGGCATTGTTGTTATTGTTATTGTTGTTGTTGTTATTGATTGCCTTTGAGTCGAGCACAACTCATAGTGACCCTATGAACAAAAGTCCTGAAGCCCTTTTACAGCTATCGACATTTCTCAAAGTTCATAAAGTTTCGGAGGCATGTTATTTAGGAAGTGGATGCCACTCCTGCTTCCAAACCTGTTATAGAATATTATTGTTGTTATGCGCCATTGAGATGCCTGCAACCCATACTGACCCTATGTATTGCAGCTCTGAACCCTTCCCTGTCCTGAGCCAGTCTCACTAATTCCAACACACCAACCTCCATCGTCCCAGTTACTATATCAATCAATCTCTCTCATCCGGGGTCTCCTTATGCGCTGTCCTTCTACCCTTCCAAGTATCATGTCCTTCTCGAAGGACCAATTTCTCCTGGCCGTGTGCCCAAAGTTAAGTGAGGCAGAGCTTCAAAATCCTAGCCTCCAAGGAGGGACTTGGTTTCAGCCTCTCCAAGACAGACCTATTTGTTTTCTTGGCAATTCATGGTATGGTCAAGACTCTTCTCTAGCACCACTACTCGAAGGCATCTATTCTTCTGTCACCCTTAGTCATTGTCCAACTCTCTGAAGGAACAAATCTGTCTTGGAGGAAGAAGGGCAACCAGAGTGCTCCTTAGAGGCAAAGATGCTGAAATGTCAACTCAGGTTGTTGAGGTCTGAGGCTGGTGTTAGAGTTCTTCATGGTTTGTGCACATCTCAGGTCCCAATTACAGGCTGCACTCCCTGGTCTTTCTCTCTTGATGGCAGTGAGGTTCCCACTGTCCACCTCTGGGCCAGCTCAGTTTAAGGCTGGCAAGGTGGCAAAACGGACCATTCCCCACATTAGCGTTTACACATTTTATATGCATGGTTCCACCCAAAGGTGCCATTTGATGTATTTAAAGTATTTGCAAGTGATCCAATCCCCTTGTTGGGCCAAATGCCTGTACTCAACCATGTGATCTGAATAGCAAGGACAGTGGCTTAGAAGAACCACATTGAGTAAGTCACTGCAGCATGACTTACTACAGACATGTCAAGTGCTCTCCTAGCCCTTGGGACTCACCTGCAAGGAATACTACTCCATCCACTGAGTCTGTGGCCAGAATCCATTTCCCAGCCTCCCTTGCAATTAGGCATGGTCATGTGACCCAGTTCTTGCCAATGGAAATGGAACAAACACGGTGGAAGCCCTGCAGGGGCTGAGGCTGAGACACTTTGAATTCCTGGTCTGTTCTGTGTCTTACGAGTTGAAACATGGACTGGCCTGTGACTGGGTATTGACCGTGCGAGGAGGACAATGTCCTAAGGGGTGGGAGATGCTAAGTGAAAGGAAATTGGATCCTGGGAACCTGGTCTGTATGCAGCAGCAGCAGCGTGGCACACTTGGGCTGTTAATAAGAGCTTTGGCAGCTCCCTGTGGGCTGCTCTGTTACAGTGGTCGAGCTAGGCTGTTCCTAATACACCCGCTTTATGGATAAGGAAGCCTGAGGCCCAGGGGAGCCCAGATGGACACAGCTGGGAAGGTGGAGGCTCTTGTGTTTGTGGTATTGCTGGACCTCAGCACCTCCCAAGCTTTTGAGTTGGACTCTGGGCCACATTCCTTTCCACATCTTTCCCCTGAAATTGGACAGACTTCTAGCTGGAGGGAGTTCATATAGTAAAGGATTTGAGGTCAGGACCCCAGGTGTTAGTCCTGGGGGCTTCTACCTCCACTCTGTGGCCGTCTTCTCACAGGTCACTGAAGACCTGCTCCCCTGGCTTCTCCTACCTACCTGCAGCCAAGGGAGAGGTGAGGAACCAGGTTGTTAAAACAGTTGGGTGCAGTGGGAGCACCGTGGGACCCCAGCACCAGAAGGAAGGGTTTTGGGGCCTGGAGTTGGCAATTTGGGCTCCATGCTACCCACATGCCAACCAACTAGAACTCCTGCTCTGTACTGTCCGCTCTCCTGCTCCCACCTGGAGCTCACACCCACCTGTGCTCCCACGCCGCCAGCCTCTTCCGCTTCCTCCCTGACAGGCACTGAGCACCCAATATGAGCCACCCTCCCCCCTCAGCATCTTGACTCTTTCCTCTACTGTTTGAGACAGGGCTTCTCTGCCTGATGCCATGGTCCGAGGTCTCTAAGGACTGAGGCAGGGACAGCTGCAGAATCTCAGGCCCAGGTTCATATGCAGCCTGCATCTTCCCGTCCAGCCCTTGCAATATTCCTTCTCCTCAGGCCTGGCCTGAGCAGTGAAGCTTATATAGACCCAAAGGATCTTTGTCTTTATGGACTGATAGATGCAAGGTGCTTGTGCCTGAAGGGTCTTTATGTACAGACAGTGTTGCTGATAAATCTTTACAAGGGACTTCAGAAACAGACATGTTTGAGGAGGGTGAAGTGACCAGAAAATTGGCCTTGCCCACCATCCTGAGACCACCTTGTAATGCTCCTTTGACCTGTCATAAAACCCCATTTTATGCGTAATAAATCCATCCCTACCAAAGTCTTGCTTCTAGGTATCCTGCTGTTAATGTCCCTGATCGTCTTCCAGCCAGTTGTGAATTTCATAACCTCTAGTTCCTGATCCAACAATATAAGAAGATAATCTGTTTTGGGGCCCAGTGGAGTGACTATGTTCATGCTGTGAGCATATATGGACTATCCTTTAATAAACTCTCTTTGCTTTTGTTTTTAAAATAAATTTTTTTTAAATTTTATTAGTTTTAATGAACATTTACAGAGATTTTGGGTTTTCATTCATTCAATGTTGCACCGCTTTCTCCACCCTCCTCCCCAGTCCATTCCTCCCCCCCCCAAGTCTGTTTTAATTGTCCAATTGCCACAGTGCCCGCCAAAGCCAGTTCTGATCAATCTCCCTTGTCAGTGTGTCCCTTGCCATTCCCTATCTCTCCTCCCTGAGAGAGACTTCACCCTGATTCATAAGGAAAAGGTGATGGCACATTCTCTTAGCTACTTCCTGCTGAAAAAGGACGCTGTGGGTTTCAGGGTGAAGGTCTTCTCTCACTACTCTAAAGGGCCCCTTTGGCAGTAGGAAACACATAGACTATTATGGAGATCGACCCTGGAATTTAGATGCACTGCCATCAACCGTGCCCAGCTGTACATGCTCATATCCTTGAAGATGTATCATGGAAGTGCTGCAGCCTTCAAACTGCAAAGCAGCAAGATGTTCTTCCTTTATCTTGAGTTTCAGCTCATTTTTCCTTTGCATCTCAGCGATTTCCTCTGGGGTGGGTAGTACAGGTGATGATTCTGCTACAGGTGGTGATTTACCAGAATTGCTGAGTCAACCCGAGGGCAGGTCAGTAGTGATGCAGTTCCCGCCGGGCCACAGCTCCCACAGCTCCCGCCGGGCCCGCAGCTCCCACCGGGCCCTACCGGGCCGCTGCTCCCGCCGCAGCCGCCGTTACCACTAAGCATAGTAGAGTTCCTCCAGCAATCGGGTGATGAGACTATCCACGTTCAGCTCCCCGTCCGCCATCTTGTCGGCCTAAAATAATTTTTTAAAAGATACCCATCTCCTTGATCCATTTAATTTTCTTTCCAATGAGCATGTGTGTGGTCACTGCATCCCTGAGGCCTTTCCTTGAATTTTGGGCCAATACCGGGAGCTCTGGTGCCTTAGTGGTAAGGAATTGTGCCGTTAACCTAACGGTGCATGGTTTGAACCCACCTGCTGCTGCTCCGTGGAAGAGAGATGGGCAGCTCATGGGTGGCTTGTCACCCCTGAAAACCCATTGGAGAGTCAGCTAGGAGTTAATTCTGACTCAAAAGTACATAACAACAACAACTCGAGAGTTCCAAGCCATATCATTCTTTTGACATCTATCCCTGAAACCTCATCTCCAACCCTCAGTGTGGGATTCTTCAAAGCGGAGGCAGAGCTTAAAGACACTTGCTGGGTGCTCTACCAAGCGGATCCATCAAGATTGTGTCAAACTCCTTTTGTACCTTTATATCCACCTCACTCACGCCTGATTTCACAGCTGCTTTTCTCTCTGTGTGTGTATGTGTGACTCATGTCTATTATGCCTTTCAATTTGTTCAGTGCAATGTTCACCAGAAACAACTGTTTGTGCTCTTCTGTTTCCTCCATTAATATAACATTTAATTAGATTACAAACAGTAATTACCATGACAAGTTAGGTGTCAGAAACACACTGGGAACAAATGCCACTGACGGTGGGGAGTGAATGGCTCT